GGAGGCAAGACTTTCAGTAGTCAACCAGCATTTGAGTAAGATAAGGACAGAAAAATATTCCAGTGGAATTGGCAACTCAAAAGATCTTTGCTGAGAATGGTTTCCTTGGGGTAGTTGCAGGGGAATTAAACTGTTCAAGTGATTAGTGTGAATGAGACGTGAGCTAATACAGTGAGAGTCAGCCTCTCTTTCCAAAGGCTTGACATAAAAAGCCAAGAGATGTGTGGGACAGCAGAAGAGGGAAGCAATGAAGCACATATGGAGGTTTCTGTTGATCGTAAGATCGAAAAGATAATCACAATTGCATCCTGAGAGAAAGTTAGCCCGGAGATAGACTTTGGATGTGTAGAATGACAAAGGATCAGAAGACCAAATTCTCTTAAGGGGCAGGAGAGAAAGGTGGCACCCAGAGCACCGGAACAAAGGACTAGCTTTGTAGTAGAAAAGGAGTAAGTATTTTAGAGGGAAAATAAGGGTAGAGGAGTAAAGATGCATGCACGTGCACAAAAAGTTGGAATAAATATGGGCAAGAAAATGCTGGGTTGTCTTACTGGAGCTTCTCTTTTCTGTGATCTTAGAAACACATTTCCCTGCTGAGAATGAAGAGGTAGAGAGGCACTAGGGTGAATGCAGAGTGACTGAGTATCTCTGCATCCCCGTTACTGTTTTCTCTAGGAAATGCTGTTAGGCAGTTGGTTTCTATCAGCACCCTGGCATCAGATAAGAGAACAATGAGCTGAAAGTTCCTGCACAGCCTTTGATGCCAGGGGTACCTGTGGTCCACAAAACACATCATAAAAGTGGCACCTGCAGCTCCAAGAAAGCATTGATTCTGGCCTCCCTGGTGGTGCAAGGGTATTAAGTCTCAGCACTTGAAGCTATCAAAAGCCATTGAGGTATGAGTTTGATCCTGGCCAGGGAGCTGACCCACATGGTGCAGCAGACCTCTCTTTGTCCCACCAGTTGCTCCCCTCAGCAGTGTATTTCAGTAGATCTGCCTGTTCTGCTCCCCATTCTGTCTCTGGTGAATCCTCTCACCCCTCCATACCTTTGGCCTACACCCCAGTTCCTGTATGCATAAATAAACAAACAAACAAATAAATAAAAAGATAATAAAAAAAGAGAAAGCATTGATTCAAGCTAACGGCAGCACTGAATAACGGTTGAGAGTGGCAATGTGTATACTACAGTACAATAAAAATATACTATTTTGAGGAAGTTATTTTAGGAGGTCAATGCTTCAGTAACCTAAGACCTGCACTGTCCGCAAGTTCTCAGTCCCTGTGCCTCTTATAACTGATTTGCTATCAGTATCAAAGATGCAAAGTCTGTCAAGAGTGTAATATTTCAAGTTCATCTATATACAAACATTATTTCTACTCCACTGACTTTCCAAGACTTTTTGGTTGAGAAGAAAGGAGGGGATGTAAAAGTCAACGTGAAGAGAATGGTAAATATCCCAAGTCTATTTCTGGGCCACACTCAAGCATGAGTGATTGTCATAGCTGAACCATTTATGGTGCAGTATTGTGAATTACTGCAAGTGCTGATGAGTAGTGCTCTTGTAATCAGTTTTGTTTTAACTTTAATTTTACACATGGATAAATTTTTAACGCAGAAGAAAACAAGATAAATGAAGAAATTATGAGTGAAGATAAATAAAGAAATTAGGAGTGGTGATGACTGTTATGTTTGTAACATTGTTTGTAACAAAACATTATGGTGATGATGAAACTAGAGCAGACCAAAAACAAAGCACAGGTAAAATTCTCAGAATTTCACCCAAATATGATTCTACATGGTTTAAAATCTGTGGGTTTTATGTAGTGGATATTTTTAAATTAAAATATACCTTATGCCATAAAATTTACCCTTCTGAAGTATAAAATTCACTGGCTGTTAGTATATTCACATAGTATTTCCACCCCCACCAAAAAAAAAAAAAAATCTCATACACATACCTAGTAACTCCCCATCACAGTTTTATTTCAGCCTTTGGACAATTCTAATCAACTTTGCTATGGACTTACCTGTTCCGAACATTTCCTAGAAATGGAAAAAACATTATGTGACCTTTTATGTCTGCCTTCTTTCACATAGCATAGGTTTTCAAGGCCATCCAAGTTATAATATGTATTATTTTTATCACTAAACAGCATCCCACTGTATTCCGTTATACCACTTGATTTCCTCCCTTCAGGATTGTGTTGTTTTTACTTTGTAGCAAATACAGATGGGGAAAAAAAAAACCCCGCCTATGAATATTTGTACTGAAGTTCTTGTGTAACCCTATGTTGACAATTCTCTTCGCTGTGTACTTAGGAGTGGAATTGCTGTGTTATAGAATAACTAATTAAAACCTTTAAAAATTAAAACAATTTTCAAAATATTTTTAAGTCACTACAGTATTTTATATTCTCCTCAGTATGAGATGTATGAGAATCCCAATTTCTCCACATTCTTGCCAACACTTGTTATTTTCTACTCTTCAATTATAGCTGTCCTGGTGGGTGTAAAGATCATCTCATTATAGATTTGTACTCCTCTTGTGACTAAAGATGTTGAACATCTATTCATGTGCTGTGTAAATGAAACTGGTTTCTTAATTTTCAGATCGTGCACCCATTGTTATTACATAGACATACATTTGATTTGTGTATCTTGACCTTGATCCCTGCAAATTTGTTGAACACATCTATTTGTCCTAGTTATTCTGTGAAAAAATGCCTGTAATTTTACTATATATGAGTTCGTATCATCTGCAAATACAGTTTTAGTTCTTTCTTGCAAATTTGGGTGATATTAAAATTTTTCCCTTTTGCCACGGCAATTTCTTCCATTTGATCGATAGGCTTGAACTGTGTTGTTAAGCTCCTTTCTAAATGCCTTATGTCTTTTATTTTATTTCATTTATTTTATTTTTTTTAAGATGTATTTATTTATACAAAAACTGGGGTACAAGTCAGAAGCGCGGGAGGGTGAGAGAGTTCACCAGAGCCAGAGCAGGGAACAGAATAGGCAGACGGACCCATGTACACTGCTGGGGGGAGCAGCGGGCGGCAGGAGAGGTCTGTTGTGCCTTGTGGGGTTCTCCCTGGCCAGCGGGGAATTGAACCGGCACTGCAGAAGCTGCGGACAGCTTTGCAGCGGGACGCTCAACCACTGTGCCAACGGGGAGGCCTGTCTTTTATTTTATTTTAAACATTTCTCCCCTCTCAATCTCTCTCCCTGGTACCCACTGCCTTTTAAACTTTCATTTTTCTATCTCTACTCCATCAACTCTTTCCCAACTTCTAACCAGAAAAATTCCCCTAGCTCTTGCTCCCCACCTGTCACCTTTCTGCCACAAAGCTCCCCTTCTGCTGTGCTTCTCTACTTCCTGCTGCCCTTACCAGTCATTATCGCCATTTGTAGCTGCATTTAAAGCTGTCCCTGAGAATTAAGTTTTTTTGCCTAGACTATATTCCTTCTGAGAACTCGCTCCACGCATGAATTTTGAGCATAAGATAGTTCAGTGCATAGTATACCTTCAAAGTCTCCTAAGTTGTCAGTGTTATGTCTTCAAGGCTGTTACTCTAATTTGACAAATTGAATGTAATTGGCGTTCTAGGTGGGTCACTAAGTTCGTCACAGAAACCTGGTTTATGAACCAAAGAGGTTTTAGAGAAAGAATAACAAGCTTTTTGGTCTGTCTCAACGAATATCAAATGATTCCATGCCATGAGAAACATCAACATTATTCAAATCCTTTTCCTTCTTTCTACCATGCTGATACCCCTAGCACTAAACTTTCCCTCTCTCTCCAGCACTGGTTTCTCCTTGCATATTGAGGCTGACTTGCTACTGCCATGGAAATTAGCCTGAGCTGGCCTGATGGACCATAAGAGACTTGTGGCCTAATCATTCCCATCAGCCAGCCAACAGCCTGCCATCTGCCAGACATGGGAGCAAGGCCGTCTTAGATCATCTAACCTCCAGCTGACCCATCAGCTGACTATAAATGTGAGAGTCAACCAGATAGAGATCAGCCAAGCCAGGTCAGACCAGAATTGTGTAGCTGGCATATCAAACTTGCTTCAGACCATGAAGTGTTGGGGTGGCATGTTACGCAGCAAAAGCTAACTGCAACAGCATTAGATATTATTCATTCATTTTCATGATTTATTCAACAAACCGTAAGGCATTTGATTCCCTGTGTCTGCTTGGCACAGGGATCCAAAGCCAAGTGAGGCTTTGTACTACCAAAGACAGCTACAATCTGTAGCAGTGTACACGTATCTGCAAATAGATAATGGCAGTTCAGTGTGATTCTGAAAAAAAAGGTATGATTTTAAAAATAGGACATAGACAAGGCTGACTCATTGACTTGAGATTGTCCAGGCAAGAAACAGGAGCCATCAGAATTGGATCCTCACCAATGAACTGAAATTTAGCAAGCAAAAAATTGGGTAGGGTATTCCAGGCAAAGGAAACAGCGCTATGTGAAGGCTTGAGACATGAAAGAATAGTATTTGGCAAATGGGGCAAAATGTAGTCTGCAAGAGGAAGGGGTTCAGTGATGATGGAGAATATCTGGGTCATATAACCTATTTTGTAAGAAGTCTTCACTGTTATAGAAATATCACAAAATTATATAAATAAGAAGTCATTAAAGTGAAAAGCCACAACACACTAGTTTGAATATGATTTATCATTATTACTTTTCTTCCTCGAATTCTGTGACTCTGGGTCTGACTGCAAGTGTATTAAGTAAAGCTATTGTAATGCAAGTCTCTTCTCATCCACTTTATTTATCCTGATGGTTCATTTCATATTATCAGTCTCATTCTGTGTAGCTCATTTAATTATATTTATTGTTATTCCAGTTGGCGTGCACATACACCTTAATTGGCAAATATATCCCTAATTATAATTGGCACATTATTTGCAAAGCTATTTAACTTTCTTTATACACTAATTTGAATCAACAATTTTCTAAAGTCAGCTCCTTAGAATAATGTGGTAAATAATTGGCATCAAGTAATCTGAAAACACCTGCTTCCCAAAGACATGAATACAAGTATACTTAATGATTAATAAGTGTATTTTTTTTTCAAGTAAGTTTATGACCATGTATAGTCTACTGTACCAAAGAATATCTCTTTTAAGTGTTTGGAGAAGCATTACGTGAAGAACCATTTAAAGTAAATCTTTGCCAAAGTCTGCCGTTGTGTGGAACTTGTCCTTTTGTCCATATAGCTGGCATAGTTACCAGATACAGTGTAGTAGAAGTAATACTAGTAGTTATAGCAGTGGTAGCAACAGCAGCACCGGTAGTGTAGTTCTAGGAATAATAATAGGAAGGCGTGGGGAGGGGAGGAAAAAGTTGTAGTTGTTCCTTTTATGATGTTAGGCACCTTTTAGTTTCTCAGTATGTTCATGTACTTGTTTTTCTAAACTTTATTCCATTTCTTTGAATTTATCATGGCCATTTTGAATTCTGATGGAAGCACACAATCTTTCATGTTTCTGTGGCTGGATTCTGGAGATTGCTCTCTTTCTGTGGTGTGGTATTCTTTGAAGACTCCTGTTGCTGTCTGTTACTGTGTTTCTCTCTCCCACTTTTTTTTTTTTTTTTTTTTTTTTTGCTTTAGGACCCAGCTGCTATGGCCTGTGAGGTGGGTGGGGTGGGGCTTCTGCATTGGGCTGGCTCCTCCCCATTCCCCAGGGCTGGACAGAGGGTGGCTTAATTGGGGCTACTGCCTCTGCTGCCTGTCACAATCTTTCAGAATCAAGCTGAGAGTGTCTTGCATGAGTGCACCATAAATGCTTGGTGAAGGAATACAAAGACAAACTCAGCTTCCACTTCTGGGAATATGAAATGAGAAACTAATCACTGAAGTATCCACCAATCCCAGGATTCAAATATTTTTCCCACAAGAAAATACAGAATACAAAATGTATACATCAATTCAATTTATTAATTTAGTCTTATCTAATACATCATTGCTTTTTAAAAGGAACACAAGGTATAAAACTCTTTTTAAAAAGCCCTGAAATTATGCATATTTTGAAAGCATGATATTAAAAACAGACCTTTAAAAAGAGATGAAGATGTGCCACATGGAATCAAAATACAATGTAAAAGGTGGAAAATTAACATTGACATGGAAACCAATTGCTCCCTGTCACAGTTGTATTAAATATAAGAAATTGTGATGAATTACACTTTATTTCTGCTGCTGCCAGCAGTGCTCTTGTGATGAGAGGCATGAATTCCATTAGGACTTTAAACTGAATAAATTTGTCACATTACTAGCACTCTAATTCTAAATATCATAGCTAAGGCTTATGCACACCTTGATAACACCCTAAGTTTTGACTTTGGTAATGAGTGTGTATAGCCCCCTCCCCCTGCTTTTTTAAATTATAAAATACACAAAACATTTACCATTCTAACCATTTTAAAGTATACAATTCATTTAGTACATTCACAATGTTGTGCAATCATTGCCACTCTCTTGTTCTAGAATATTTTCATCTCTACCAGAGGAAACACTTCCCATTATTCCCTACTCCCAGCTTCTAGCAATCATTAATCTGATTTCTGTCTCTATGGATTTGCTTACTGTGTGTATCTCAGAAATGGAACTATACAATATGTGGTGTTTGTTTCCAGCTTCTTTTACTTACATATTTTTCAAGAAATACCATACCTTTTTTTTGCATTCAAGAAAAAGTCAACTATTAACGTAAATAATGAGCAAAGGAAGATATACTGAAAATCAAGTAACATCTGAGGTAAGTGAGTAAAGTCAGTGCAATTACCTTTCAGAACGCAGTTCAAGTTTTCAGGATTGATTGGTGCTTAAAACTGATCAAATGAACAATACAGCTTTACATTCAAATGCAGCACAGAATTCATTATTAACCATTTGAATTATTAATCATTTGAAGCAATTTAATTTACATGTTAAGCAATTTAATGTATATGCTAAGGTTTTATCATTTGAAGCAATTTAATTTATATATTAAGATTTTATCACAAAGTAATTGGAATGTTGTAGAGAATCAATACCATGATCTGCTGTATTTCAAATTTTTAATATAGGAATCATTTTAATAAGTTATCATTTCACATAAAGACATCCAGTTCACGTAACTAAAAATTCACTGGGTAATTTTACTCTTGAACAAAGGTAGTATCCATTCTTATTTCCATTTCTACAGTTTGATTTCTTTTAATCATATATTATGGTTAAACCTGAATGCTGATGTGCAATACTCCAAATTTATTTATGAGTTGTGAGACTAAAAGAATCCAAATGTTAATCAAATCTAAATTTATTGGCCAAAAACTACTAAAAATCAATTGCTTAGCAGAACAATATTCTTAAAACACCATGTTTAAGCTAGGTTTTTTGATCAAATGATCAGAAAAAGTTGTGGGATAAAGCAATAATTACCACAGGGAAAGGAAGGCTTCAATGAAAAAAAAAGATGCTGGAACAGCAAAGACAGGAATCTTTTTCTTCAACTACAACCTTTTGAGAAGTAACAAATTATGATTGTTCTTTTTTATCAGCTACTGGATAATAATGCAATACTTTATTCTTTAACTGGAAGGGGTAGAAGGAAGCTACCCCTATCTAAATCTAGCCAGTTCCTCTGCAAAAGAATAAGCTAACACATTCATTTGTGTTAACCTATTTACTGTTTAAGGATCTTGTTGGGAAAAAAAAGAAATCAAGCAATTTGTATTAGAATGGGTAAAAACTAAGCCTAATAAACTGGCTTTTACTGGGAAAGGACAATTTGACAGAAATGCAGTTTTATTATTATTATTATATTATTATTAAACACACATACACTACTAACACCTTTAGAATTAACTATGTATAAAAGAATCATTTCTTATATTTGCATGCAAACGGGCTAATAAAATGACTTGGGGGATGCTTAAATATTATCAGTTGTTAGTGAAAAACAAACATTTTCCTTATGTTGTTAGGTTGCTTTAGAAACGCTTTGGGAAATAATGGATGTTTTAGTCAAAAGATGACTTAAAAGATTCTTATTAATGATTTCTTACTGTTTTTCTATAGTGTTCATGAATTGTCCTTGTAACCCATTTCTTTGTAGCTTAATAATAAAGTCTTTCCCCACATTAAGACATTGCAATGTCAAACGTTTTTAACAGAAAATTCCAGTTTTGAAATGTTCTAAAAAACAAATTAAGGTGTAGCTCCATTAATCCACCCTAAGATATATTAAAATCTATTTGGCCAATTTGTGGATATTAATCATGCAAAAAATATATATATGTGCATATATATACACACACACATATAACAAATTTATAATTTTTTCAATCACACAGTCAAGAAAACACTTGTAAAAATTCAGCAAAAGACCCAAGTTTTTGCAAAGAGTTTTCAGAGCAACCTACCATATTAGTTAATTTCTACTTTGTTTCCTTTTGGTATTACCAGTAACTCTTTCCAAAACACTGGGAATCAAATATCATAGGCAACAATATTTTCCAAAGTAATGCCCATACATCTAAATGTCCCATTTCTTATCCTCTTTTCATTAAAAAAGTTCACTCAGGTTGGCCTTTCCTCCTTCCAAATTTCAACCGTTTTTGTTTGGAAGTCACATTTATATCATACCCTAACAAAACCCACCACTGAATTAAACACAATGGATGAGTCACCGAGTTTTCTTTAAAAGAATAATATTCTCTTGCTTCCTAGGCCTCATGAGCCTAGTAAGACTACCTAGAGCAGTATTCAGAAAATGAGCCAATCAGAAAAAGTCTTCCCATCAAAAAGCTTTGTTCTGCCCACTGAGAAAATAAGGACTGAGTACTTTCTTTCTGCCTCACTTCTAAATCTCCACCTCTGCAGAGTCCAATAACATCAACTTCCAATGTGGTGCATCATACATGAACAAATGTTTTTTCAATATTTGCATTATTATTCCTCAGAAAATATTAAAAATTAGTGAACCCTATGTCTGTTTAGATTGGAATGGAATAAACAAAGAACTCTGTTTTGCTTCTAAATACCAGTAACTACATGCAAATTGAAAGAGGTAAAAATCTGTTACCAATATAGTAATGTAAACCACTGTATATTTAAGGGATGTGGAAGTTTTATTGAAATCCCATTTTGTTCAGCTTTATTAAGGTCCCAATATCTAATGTTAAGGTATAGTTAAAATAGCAATAACACTGATGAGAAATGCAGCACAGGCTTGACGACCAAAAAGATTTTATATTACTGATAAACCAGAAACCCAATCTTTAATATTTCTTATTGATAGGGTTGAAAGTATTTCTACAATTATTTTTGTAGAATCTAATCCCATATTCATCTACTTCTACCTTCCTTGCTTATTCTAAAAATCTAGTATATTCACACGACTTCGCAACCACTAAGAGAATGAATGACTAGGCTAAATGTCAGTGCTAACGAACTGTAAGTTGCACTGCAATTTACCTTGAACAGAACACTAATGAAATTCTACCAACAACAAATTTAATACACTAATAAATACACATTTTAAAAAAATGTTCAGTAACTACAGTACTTACTTTATATTTCACTGTAAGATTGAGAGAACATATAATAAACCATTAATATTGATAAACTACCATTACTTTTAATTTTGGATTATACATGTACACACACACACGTACATACACACATATATCCACTTCAACAATACATCATTCCAGAGAATAGATGCATGTCCCAGCTTTTCCTTTAAGTTCTCAAAATTTTGTCCATCAGAATCACCAAAAGGCCTTTGTTGAAGAGATGCTGGCTCCTACCCCAGGGATTCTGATTCAGTAAGTCTGGAGGGAAGCCTAGAAATTGCATTATGACAACTTCCCAGGTGAAAACACCAGCCACCACACTGGCAACCACTAATATAAGTGATCTGTGAGTCTCAAAGTCAATTAAAGAGGAAGACATACATTAAGGTAATGGCAGTTCTGGGAAAGTAGGCAGAGGATGAAAATGGGTTCAGGTACTTTCCTCTGTCCTGACACTTGCCCTTTATATTGCTGGTTAGCAAAGGAAAAGCAATCAACAAAAACTTCTCAAGGGACAAGTTACTTCACCAACATAAAAACCTTTTCATGTTTAGAAGGCTACATTGATGGTTCCCAAGTTTTGCAAAGATAATATTGCCAGGAGATCTTAAGCCTTTCAATATTCCTAGCTGAGATTACTTTCAAGGAGATATTAAAGGGGCAGAAAAGTAAACTACTGAATTTTTCATATTAAAAAAAAATTTAATGCTTATAAGTAAAATACAGGTGAACAAAATGGTCATGAAGTAGCTGTTTTAACATGCAGAGAATCACTACAGAAATATGACTGTGTTTAGAATTTATCAGACAAGTATTACAATTTTATTTCAATGAAAATCTTTCTTTTTAAGTTACTGAGCCATATGAAGAAAAAATATTAATTTTATTAGAATTTGAAGAAATGTTGCACAAAGAAAACATTTTAAACAAAAATTATGGTGGCATAACAAACAAAAAAGAAAACAAGCAAAGATGTGTAAAACAAATATAAGGTGAAAATGTTAAATATCTCATGATCCAGTGTGCAAACAAGAAATCTAAACTTAGAAACCAAGGATTTTAAAACGCACAACCATAAAACAGAAAGTGGATGTGCTATCCTAACCATAGACACGTTCTTCAGCAAAACTTTAAAATGCAGGGTTATATTTTACAGTTTTTGATATCTTATATCTGACTCCTCCAAGAAAATGGAGGCTGTTTCAGAGATTCAGTTTCATATTTGAAAAAGTTTTACACACTCAGGAATAAGTATTCCACTAACTAAAATGACAAGTGAGGCAAAATAATTGATTAGTCTTTAATGCTATATTTTTTGAGTGCAATATAAGGACTTGATCCTACCAAAACAAATCCTAAGAGGTTCAGAATTCTTTTCTAATGCCCAAGGAACGCCTCTGCCTAGACTGATTGCCATTTATGGGAATGGCAAGAATCTAGTAACAATAGAGCACTGGCAGGGACAAATGTAGGAAAAGATGAGAAGGTACAATGGAGTTCTGATTTGTATAACAAGGTGACTTGTCACCATTTCAGGTTACCGGATGACAGAAGTTACTCAAAAAAATTTTAAATACAAATCCCAACTTTGCGATTTGTTTCTAAATACTGATCTGTTCATTCTTTTTAACTGACTACCTCAGGTTAATGATAGTATAAATCAATTTGAAAACTATAATAAAATACCTCAAGAATAGGTCTTGACTATTTTTCTATGATACCTTGATCCTTACAGAAGGATGCAGTTCTTACTTTTTTGTTAGATAAGTTTATAGGAAATTAACTTGGAAATGCTTTAAAGAGATTGTCAGCTAAGACGGGCGTTTGCATTTCATGATTGTCATCTTACAAAGATACCAAATTTCACATTAACATTTTGAATATTTTAAATCAGCATAGTTGTGACCTTTATGAACATCAAAGGATGAACATTTTAAATGCATATAAAAAAAAGTTAAGCCCTTTGGATTCTGGATAGTTGAAGCTCACTCACAAAATATACTCAATTCAAACTTAAAATGCAGTATTATTATCTTCTTTCCAAATAGCAAATACATAATACCACATTTCAAATTAAGGTCAATTCACAGGTTTTTGGTTTGCTTTTATATTAACTTGTCATACAACCCACTGCCACGAGTCTCTGGAGATGGTGTTGAAAACAAAGAGTTGCAAAGGGTCACTCCTGTGTAGTTACAGAAACCTAAGATGAAAACATTTTTGTGAATGAAATAGAATCACCAAACAGTAGTAATGGTTTTAAATATTACATAAATGTATATTAGAGATCATTTATTTATTACCAATCTACAGACTTTATAACGATCTTATGGCAGTGCTTAAGTAACTGAATTTTTTATCTGAAAAACCTACTTGACAAAATTCTGAATCAAAGTTTTGCTTTTTGAATGCATGGGTTGTAACCCACAGAAAACACGAGGAGTAAAGGGTTGGTCAGGATAATGTATGTTTAAGAAGCAAAAAATTTAAGAACCAAAATATGCACACCATTAAAAATACTAAGTTTGAAATATTTTACTATGTGGCTAAAAATTAAATCACCCTGTCCAGCAAGTTGCAAAAATTTCACACATTTCAAACATTAAGGCAACTTTTTCCAACTAAACAGTACTTTATAAAAATATATGTCACTTCAAAACATTATATACATAGTGACAATAAATTTAGCTAGTTGTAATATTTAATACATTAATAAAGTGTTTCGTATTACAAAGAAATTCAACTAGGTGCTTGCATGTATGTGCAAGTGGAGTGACAGTTTTTAAAGTACAGGTTTTAAAACTGAGCGAAGTGAGCGTCCTTCTTTAGTGAGCTCCCGTGTCACACACATACAGGGCAATGGAATTGCTTCCTCCCGTTTCTCTACAATATTGTAACTGCACTTCTTCAAGTGGTCAGCCATGCTGAGGATGTCAGCAAACTTCCATTCATTAACAGAACAAAATGCAGTACTGAATCGCCATACCTAAAAGAAAATTCTACTTCAGATTTAAACAAGTCGATTTACAAGAATGAAAATACACTTCTTACCCTCGCTATATACATTTGTACTATCAGAGAAACAACCACTATAAAATCTCAAGCAGTTAGCTACAGACTACAATGTATGCAGTGAAATCCATTTTGTATAAATCTGTTTATCCAGTATTTACAGATAAATCATTTCTAGGACATTAATTCCTATGACTTCAATAGCTGTAATAACCAAAAAAGAAAATAAAAGACAAAAACTAACATTAAAAATCACTTCCAATCTGGCTTAGTAAGCAATTTTTAAAATATCATAACCTCATGAATATAGAGATACCTCCTGAAATACATATTACACACTATTCCTACATCCTATCCAAAGTCTGAAGAAATTGACAAGTGATATTTTTACTGCCAAGATTTTTCCCCCTCATCCTTTTTACAACATATTATGAAGTACACTAAAAGAATACTCTAGAATACTGTGGGCCACAGTACCTTATCTTCCCACTATTTACAAGTACTAATGGTGGTCAGTAACTTTCAAATATAGGGGTGCTTTCAATTTGTTCAAAACGTTTCTGAAAATACACAAAGAGCTTTTGCAATGAATCTGACTTTATATCATTGTAAAATGCATTTCTAGGTAAAATATTCACCTGCCATACCTGTTCTTGTGTCCACATGTAAAAATATGGACTACTTCCCCTTGTGCCCACTCAGGAGCTCCACACCTGGAAGTCCCATTACCTTCTAAGTCCAGCAATGACCATGTGACCCCCGCTCATCTTCACAATTCAAAATATAAAGCTGCCCACACACAGGTAAACAAGCATGCATGGAGCACAACAGACCTAGGTAATAAGTATGAATGGGCAGCATAAGACTAAGCATCCCAGACTCATCTATAGGGAAGTGGTGAGCAGACAACACTGAACACATGGTAAGCAGCAGATAAGCCACAAAGCAGCAGTGGATCTGAGGGAAGTCCTCAGCACTAGAGCTTCTCAGGAAAGGATGATGATGACTTTTGGGGGGCAGATGTCTTCAAATTCTGTGGGGACACAATTTTCGACTGGCAACATAAGTCACCATTATTCACAAAGGGTTACTTGCTGCTTAGGGTTACATCCATTACCCTCTGTGGAGTCATTTTCCAGGAATTAGTGAATGTGTAGAAATAACTACCATAGACATTACAGAAGTTGGTAGCCACTTGGACAATTCCCTATGCCCACAAAACTATGGGGAAAATTAGGAATTTTTGTTAAGATTTAGAAGATAGCATTAACCGAGTCAATGATGGCAGGCAGCCTCCCTCATACAATTAAGTCTGGTGAAATAAACTCAGGAGAAAATGGCTCCCACCCCCTGATAACAAGTTTTCTTATTAATGGGACAATTTTTCATTCAGGTACCATCAGGTATTTACTTAGTGCCTACTAGAAGGCCAATGCTGTATTAGATAGGAGTTATTTTGGGTCCCAGAGAGTTTCGCTTCTCAAAGAAAGTTTAGTCTAGTGGAGGAAACTGACAATTCATCAGTGAATTTCAAAACAGCATGGGGAGAGCTTTAGGAGGTGTAGAGGGTAGGCGCATATAGTGGGGTACACAGACACAGAGCAGTGCATTTCAGGGCAGGGGTTCCAGAAAGCATTGGTAAGGAAGTAAGCTCTGAAGAGTAAACAAGATATAGCAAGGAGATGAAGATAATATCCCCAGAGACAGGTTTCCTAGGTCTGAATCCATCAATTTCTTCACAAGATGGGGACAGTATAATAAACAAGTTAGTGAAACAAAAGTGCTTTCATTAACACACTGTCCAGCTTACTGCAAGCATTCAAAAGTAGGTATTACAAATATATCAGAGGTCTGAGGGCAAGAAAGCAAGCATCAGGCAATTATTAAGTCAACCTGGTTGGAATGTTAAGAGACTAGAGGAAACTAACAATGTCAATATGGACACGAAGTTATGAAAAGTCTTAAATGTTCATTAAAGAATCTCTATACCAGGGCAATGGACAAACATGTGAAGTTTTTAAGCACTGCAATGACACTGTAAAAATTGTTTTTAAGAAAATATATGTAACTCTAGCTCCATATAGAGCGTATGTTGGAGAAAGACCCACTCGAAAGTAGAAAGCCAGTTAGCAGGAATCCAGTTTTGTGGTGCTCTAGGAGATCAAAGGGTGGGGCTGGACTAGGGAAACAGCGGTAGCAATAATGAAGGAGATGTGAGAGATATGAAGAAGGGAGGCTCAATCTCAATAGGACTTTATAATTCCTGGGACATGGAAATGAAAAAAAAAGCGGGTGGTCCTTTTTTCCCTTAGGTTAGGCAACTTAAGATGCTCACTGGTATCAAGTGGGGTAGAGAAGTGGACATGTGTTGGACATGTAAGTGTGTTGTGGGGCAATCAAGGAAACAGTCAGTAAATGCGTATATATTCAACGGTGTAGAGTTCAGAGGCAAAGAGGAGAGGCTATGGATATGGAGTATGCATATAAATGACAACAAATGAAACTCTCAAAGAGAGCAAGGACAAAAAGTGCCCCATTCCAGACATCAAATTTCCCTTTGGAAAAAAATAATATAATCACCACGTTCATTTATTAGTAAAGGCCTACAAGAACACAGACGTAAAAGTAAAATTCTGAAAAACTACACTAAAAAAACCTTAGCAGTGACAAGGACAAAAGTAACCAGCAATTTGAACCCCATGCAACCACTGTGAGGTTTATCAAAATTGTTCCTATCTTTTAAAATGCAAAGTTTCTTATTATAAATGCTCTAAATTAAAAAAAAAAAAACCTTCAATGAAATATATTTGTAATGCCTTTTGGTGTCTACCGATTGGATAATGCCTCAAACAGAAGATGAACAAAAGCACAGTATCACAGGAGGAAAGCAGTAGAGCAAGGACTTGTTCCCAGATCCAACTGCATCTCCAGTCCAGCTCTGGACACAACACTAGTATAATACTGTACTAACTGCAGAGTCCCCAGCAGCAGCAACAGATCCTACTGCCATACTCTCATCTTATGCACCCTATTTCCACATCCGTCCATTTGTATTTTCATTGGTCACTTGGTAGTAACTGTAGTTAAAACTTTTTTCTCATCTCTCCCTATATAAATTCTACCTGAAAAACCGACTCTAAAAATAGAGAAAATGCCAAATTGCAAGTAGTTAAAAAGAAAAAGCTCTTCTTGCTTCTTCCATTGTCCTGTGCTGAAAATGTTTCAGATGGAGCCCAAATTAGGTAGTTAATATGGACTCAAATAAAGGAAGTCATTACAGAAGAGTTCGGTGGGTACAGAACTGCCCAACTGAAGAAACAAAAGTGGCCTTTGCCATATTAGATTGGAATCCAGTTCTAGGATGTCTGCAGTAAACGTGATGATGACAAATAATTCTTAACTGTACTTATTTTTTTATGGACTATTATAAAAAGTTTGTCATCATATATTAAGTTTTAAGGATGCTTGATTGATTTCTCCACAAGGTATTAATTTTATTAATTCAGCAACAATATTAAATGCCTATTATATGTCAAATAAGGGCTTGACAGTTAGGATTTAAACTAACCTTTTCTTTTATCTGCCATGATGATTTTCCTTCTGGATACTTCTTTTTGCCCCACTGCAGTATGACCATTCCACGAGACTGAAGCAGACTGCCACACACATCCCTCATTAACCTGGATACACACGAGAGCTGGCATAAACTGAAGCCATCAAGAAAGCCAGCAATATGTTGCAGAACCTCAAAAGGGAGACTACTTAGATGGTCATTACGTAATCCCAAGACACAGTTTCTAGCGGGTTCCACTAATACTGTAGACACACATGGCTGAACACCAAATGACCTCAAATGGCGGTCATGTATAATCTTTGCTCCTTGTGTTGATGGACAAAATCTACGCTGAGAATAGGTACAACCATAATATGCTAAAGGACACCTCTGTTCCATCCAGCCATTGAGTCCAGCATGAATGTCACCATGCACATTCTTAAAATGTGAAGAAAATTCTTTTCTTCTAAATAACTGTCCACAAACAAATGTAAACATTGAACGTTGCTTGGGTTGGTACCTAGCGACACATTCCAATACTAAATCCAGCCCAAGTGTCTGGAAAGGACTTGGATTTGAAAGTTGTGGATTGGCATGATCACAAGCTGAAGCTGAGGCTATTTCCCCAACCATTGTATTCGTAGCTAATATTGCAGATGGAAGAGAAAAAGTCTGAGTCCCAAAGTCAATGTGATAAACATCCACCATGCGGCTATCAGATATCCCCCTCCCACCCGGAGAATCTCCTAGACAAAACAGTAATGCTGCTGTGATGAGATCTATTCCTTGGAGCCCCATTGGATCTTCAGCAACTTCCAAATCTGATGTATCTACGGCTTTATCTTCCTTTGGTTTAGACCAACACGAATTAGTAAGAAATTTGAATGAAGGGGTATGACTGAAAGACAAGACATCCACATTCCTCAAGTCCCCTAAGTCTACTTTTCTCCAATACACTTCTCCTTCTTCCTCATCATCCGGCATGAGTATATGCTGAACTGTACCATTCGGCAAAGCATTGGATGGTATTACTTCCCTAAGTTGTGCTGCAACTGAAAGTGAATTGGAAGGTTTTGAAGTGCCATCTGACGCTACACATTCTCCATTTGTTAAGTTACTTTGTTTTGAGTCACCATGTAAATTCTGATTCTGTTCTAAGACGTCTGTATATATATTTTCCAAAGGAAAGCCATTACAGAGAGTAGAAGTTCCACAAGAACTGATATTCAAGTCACATAATAAATCACTTGAACCATTTTGTTCAGACTGGGCATTCTCACTGGTGTCGTTATGGTCAATTCCACCTACTGCTCCTATTTCATCCTCATAAAGATGGTCTTGGTCTTTTGAGTTTCTTTCTCTAGCATTTTCCACTTCATCCATTTCACTTGAGGAAGCACCGAGATTTGCATTTAACATGCCAATGTCTCTTGTGGCAGTATTCAGGATATCTAAAGCAGCAGCCAAACTTCTGGTTGTTTCTACTGTGGCTTGATAAAGTGCACCATAAGATTCTTCATCAACAGACACCAAACCATTAGCATGTGGCATTTCTGGAACAGTTGATTTTACTGAGATTTGCTCTCTGGGTTCTGATACTTTATCAGTAGCTTTTGACATCATAGTGGCTACTTTGAGAGATTCTAAAAGCATCCTTTGGTCTTGAAGGGCCAAGGCCATATCTAATTGTGCCACTTCATCAACATCTCTGCTTAGATTTTCATAGGATTTCCGATCTGCATAACTAACCGGCCATCGATTCCACTCCATAGTACAGCATACCACACTTGCAGGACACATTTCTAGATGTTCAGCAACTTTATTTCGAGCCATTGTAAATGGACATCCAAAGTCACTGTTTAAGCAAGGCACTCGTTCAAAAGGACATAAAAGGCGGTGCTCATCAGCTTTACAAGAATGGAAAACTGCTCCACAAACCAATGGACAACCAATCAAGTCACAGGAGATGCCAGGCTCTGGTCTGGTCATGCACCGTCTGCTAACACAGTTCACACAATGTGAATGCTGCAGCTCCTCCTCCATAATGAACAGTCCGGATCTAGTTGAGATGGAAAAAAGAAGTTAGGCAAGAAATGATTGAGTCTTAAAAATTATTTAATAACTGAAATTATATACTGAATGTATATCAGCTTATTCTAGGGTGAAAAACAAACACATTGAACAAGTATATTTGACATATACTGATCACATCTTGGAAGAGCTTAAGCACTCTCATTCAAGTAACAATTTAGTACTTTAAAATGTGACAGGTTTATTTTTATGCGACAAGTAACTGTATACTTGAGAGCAAAAATTTTAAAATACAACACTTTGATTTTAGTAGATTGCATAGTCTATAAACTAATGCCAGAAACAAGTTAATACATATTTAACTTTTAGACTCAGTATAAAGCTTTAGCTTTCACCCTTTAAATTTCAACTAAACTGATCTTGATTATACCCCACATTGCAGAATATCGTCATGTTCATCAGAGGATAAACTGAATTTCATAACTAAAACTTTATTAGAAGTTTTACTTTATATTCACTCTAAATATATGAATTTATTTAAGATTTCAACTATCAATATTTGTCTCTCCTTCAACATGTCTTAATAGTTCTTAATAAGAACTATTTGATTTGATGAATCAGTAAGTAAACCTTAATTAAAACATACAGGGAATTTGCTCAGAAAATATAAGTTCTAGTTCTCTCTCTGTGACTGTGGGTATGTTGCTTACTGCAGAAGATTGCAGTCTCCATTCATTCATTAAAGTCCCATTTACTGCTTGATTACTATGAACCAGACACTATGTTTGTTGACACAGTTACTCCCCTCAAGCAGGTACAGCTGGTGGTCAGAAGTAAATAAAAATGTGATATTGTTTTGTGAACAATATGACAGTCAACTTTCCAAAGGGGGAAAAAAAAATAAAGTCCTCCTTGCTTCCCTATACTCTTTAGCCCTCTAGTCCAGTTTTAATTTTACTATCACTCATTAAAACTACTCTATTGAGACCCTCAATGCTAAGTCCAAAGGTTATTGTTTCCAGACTCTTATCTTCCTTCACCATTACATCATTTTGTTGACTAATTTCTCCTTCTGAATTAGCTTTTCTTAGTCTTCATGATGTCACACTGCTCCCCACACCTTCAATCTTTTCTTCTAAAATATTACTATCAGAGCCAAGTCATTTCTTGCTTAGTCTATACATTCTCCCTATGTGCTCTCAATTTTTCAAGAGCTTCAAATACTACCCATATGCTCATCTATACTTCCTGCTCAAATCTCCTTCCAATCCCAAGGTCTCGACTTTAGGTGTGTTTCTATTTACACATGGCACAGGCAACTCATCACAAGATTTTCCAAGTTAAATTACATTGCTGTAGACAATTTTCTGGGTAAGATGTTGATTATTACCCTAAGTTTCTTTCCTTCAGCGTATAAAACATTTTTAAATTTTATTTTGATTCCTGGAGGCCAAAGTAGTAAACTAATCACTCTCCAAATTGCCCTTTCTTTTTCTACAGCCTAGGCTTGATTATCTTCAAAATAGAATAATAAAAGTCCATCTATTACTTATTCAGATTTTGTTTTTGAAATGGAAAAGTTCTGGGTTGATATTGTGTTTAATGATGCCAAGGGGGTGGAAACAGCGCACACATTTAACACAAAAACTTTACTTTTAAATTGTGTTTAATATTGCACATTATGGGTCAAATATTTGTGACAGTTTATCCCCATTAATTGTATACATTAAGCAAAGACTTGGTCCTGGGTTTTGCATATTCTTTGCCTCTCCTAGTCCCAAGGCTTCTCCTGAAACTATACTCTGCCAGACCCTGAGGCCAAGAAGCACCCTAGCTTGATCGCCTTCTTTGTATTTATTCGAGGGAGGGTGGTACTGGCGGTACATCATGGGTCCGGCTTTGTTCAATCAAGATGTCAGTCAGGACAGAAAGAATAACCCAGAACCTGGAACAGACTATGTCCCAAAGAGCAAAACAAGCTCTGCTCAGTGAATGCAGATGACAGCAAACTGAAGAAAGAAGGTCCAGACTTCCAAATGAAATACTTGACAATAAAGCTGCTTAAAAGGAAGGTTTTCCAGAAGCCATCTGCACAATTTCCAATTAACCAGGAAATATTTCCCCTCTAAATGCTCAAAATCATGTGGGTGCATTGTGTTGGGTATTACACTTGATTAATTAATGTTTGGGAAAAAATACATAGGTTAGGATAGAACCTATAAAGTTAATAGACAAGTTAAAAGTCATAACAGAAGTGACAGACAAATGATTAGAAACATTTCTGTTAAGTAACATTCAAAGAGAAAACTTGTTAGAATTATGACAAATCACTGAGCCATCAGATTGCAAAAACAGTTGTAGCTTTCCTATTTTGCAACAATCATAATGAATTCAACTCATATGTGACAGTTCTGAGCCTGACTGTTAAGACAGAAACCTCAAAATACAGACAGTTCCAACACAAGTGGCCAATGCTCCCAGAACTTGCAGGACACTTCATATTACATGCACATCACGTGATCACATCAGGCAAAACATCTCTCATAGAACTATCACTTAATTCAAAAGTGTGCAACAACAGGAACTGCTACAAATAACTAAGTTAAGTAAATACAAAACAGCAACTTTGAAAGGTGGAAAGAGGCTGGCAAGCATCAAAATTGCGTCTTCTGAATTTTTCCATCTGAATTGTAAGTTTTTAAAAAAGCACTCACAACAATGAGTCCACAGTATGTACTGTTTACTGAAGGAGACCGAGAGAAGGAAAAGGGAACACTAACCATGTGCCTATTTTATCATTTACACACGGCACTTTGATCTTCTTAACTGAGAGGAAATCAAGATTCACTAAGACTACAGGACTTACCTAAAGTCTTCTACCTAGTGAGTGGCAGGGATAGCATTTAAATCTATATTTGATCAATGCACATGGACAATAACAGATTTACTTCCAAAAGTTTAAGAAAATAAGGCAGTATGTCAGTAACTGGTGATCCAATTTTAAGATGTTATTTGAGGAATGGAGATTACACAACTTTGCATACAGTTTACTCCAACACTTAATCATCCCTGTGGTGAAGAAAGTCTTTTTGGTTCTTTCTAACTAAAATAGTACATTGTGTTGACAATAAACGTCTTGAATTTTTTTTTAATAATTTATACTTACAATTATCAGTGTAAACATAGATTATAAATTTAATAATTCTCAAAATAGTTATACAAAGAATCAAGTTTAATTCCACTTTACAATTAAATATGTAAGAAATAAATTAAGAAAATGCAATAGACAATAATACCCAGAGTATGCAGAGGATAGAGCCTTCAGCATTAGAATTTAAAACTCCCAGATACATTCTCTTTCTAATCAAGATAATGATTATGAAATTAAATGTCTTTATGAAGTATTTCACTACTCCTCTTAAATCCTGTGAAACACGTTTTAAATATTAATCCTTGATTTATCTGTTGAACAGTGACACAGAGGCCTAGTAGAAAACATGTTGCTAAAATGAAGGTTTCAAGTTCAAGATGACCTTAAAACTCGTCAATATTAAATTTTTTTCTAAAACCCTCTTGAAAAAGAACCTTAACATTGCAAATAAAATCTCTATTAATTTATACTTAAAGGTTGAATGACTGGGAAAAGTTTCATTAACCCAGAAAATATTTGGGTATGATTAAATGTTTTACAATAGCTTCACTTTTCGCTAACAGACATTCTTTGCCAACTCATACTCTGTGGCTGACAAGCAATCCATAAAAATAGTTGTAAGACATGACATTTTCCCCACAATGAAATGAGGCCTTGTCATTTAAAGCTTTCTCTAGACATAAAGCTATTGCCCTCAAAAAGTTATTTCTTCTAATTCATTAAAATATGTAAGGAGATCAATAAAGCACTTCAAATTAGTATGATGTAAAAATATGCAGTCCAGTCACAGCTTTTAATGTCTCTCTCTCTCTCTCTCTCACACACACACACACACACACACACACACCATTAACTCCCTGACTGCTACCCTAACTCTTGTCACAGCTTATATGTTACTTTTCTGTGTACCCAAAGGCAAGGTATGGATCCAGGATTATAGTACATGCACATTACTGCATTTTCCCTTTTAACACTGGTCACACCCCCAAATTAATCATTATTATATTTTTCCATAGGAAAACTGTTAAGTTCCACAAAGGTGACAGAACCATCTCTATTTCATTCATTTTTCTGTCTTCTGCATTCAAAAACTATGCCTTAATAGAATCAGTTATTTTTAAATATAAATCATTTTAAAAACATGAATAAGTGAAAAAACTAATAACCAAATGAACTCTAAAACAAAATGAGATTCTTTATTTCATCAAAAAAATCATCTCATATGAAGCATTAGACAATCAGAATGAGTCAAAATCACATCATTGTACCAGTTATAAAAAGTTGATAGGGGGCCTCTCTGGTGGTGCAAGGGGTTAAGCACTGCACTATGAAGCAGTCTGCAGCCTCTGCAGCTGAGTTCAATCCCCAACTGGCCAGAGAGCAACCCACATGGCACAGCAGACCTCTCCTGTCTCGCCCGCTGCTCCCCTCAGCAGTGTACTTCAGTCAATCTGCCTGCTCTGTTCCCCACTCTGTCTCTGGTGAATCCTCTCACCCACCGCATCTCTGGCCTGTACCCCAGCTCTTGTATGCATAAATAAATAAATCTTAAAAAAAAAGTTGATAGTGCTCAAACATTTATTGAGCACCTAGGTAATTTGTTCAAGGTATTATGTACGGAGCAAGGTAAATCATCTATCAAAGAAGCAAATCAAAGAAAGTTCATTTCAATCTTACATTATTTCAAAATCTTTAAAAATCTTAGTAATACTAAAAGTCTCAAAAGGAAACATTTACCTGTATAAATGCTCCGCTGCTCTAATTCCCTAATCAACCCTGATGCTGGTTACTGAGAAAAATGAATATAGAGTAATTAAGTTTAAAAAGAAAGGTAGAGGTAGAAGTGCAGGTACCTGAATAGGTTAGGCTGATGGTGAGGAAAAGAACTCAAAATAGGAAGTAGCATCCAAATGGTATAAATAAAATATAATTCTACTCCCCAAAAATATTGCTTAAATTTAAGCCTGAAATGAAACTACAGACAGACAGGTTCATTAGCTAACCGCTACTACAAGTAAGTCTATGACTTAATTTCAAATTTAGCAGTTATTTGCAAGCTGCTCCAGAGCAGACCCATCCTTCCTGTGGACTCGGATGTACTAGTGCCAGTAAATACAAATACACGGTTAAAAAATGCACTTGCTGACTAATTTGCTAATCAGGTGCAATTAGTTTTAAAGACTATAATAATCCTCCAATGGACAACTTGTTTCACTGGTTTTAAAAGCAGAAGAGAGTGGGCTGAATTAGACAAGACTGAAAATACACTATCACTGAACTCCCAACTCAAGGCTCATGCCCTCCCCTTGAGTCCAGAATGCCTAAAATGGATTACAATGTATACTTTCTTTTATTAAACTTTGGTTCTGACTTTATTTATAGAATAATGACCTACATATATGGATTTTTTTAAGTTTTTACCATTCCAGATATGATATAATCAAAATTACATGTAACATTTCTAAATATGGTCATATGAGTAGCATATTCCAAAATAAAAGTTCTAACTACTTGCAATGTTCTCCACTACATAAGCAAATGAAAGGGCCTCCCCTGTGGTGCAGCAGGTTGAGCGCTGCGCTATGAAGCTGTCCGCAGCCTCTGCAGCACAGGTTTGATTCCTGGCCAGCCAGGGAGAAACCCACATGGTGTGGCAGACCTCTCCTGTCTCGCCCGCTGCTCCCCTCAGCAGTTTCTTCGGTCTGTCTGCCTGTTCTTCTTCCCACTCTATCTGTGGTGAATTCTCTCACCCTCCTGCGCCTCTGACTGTACCCCAGTTCTTGTATAAACAAATAAATCTTAAAAAAAAAAGAACTTTAAACTTAGAAACTGAAAGAATAAGTATTTAATAAATATTTAATACTCAAACCAGAACCTACTTGAGTTGATATTAACATAAAAATAATCCACCCCCTTAGTGGGACTCCACTTATTAAAATGGGCAGCATGACATGTAAAAGTGAACTTCCAAGAAATCTCAGCTTGGTGACCTTGAGGCAATTATGCTACCATGAAACAATCTAAAACATTACAAAGATTGTTTATAATTCTGTGTGTGTCCATTAGGATACAAATATATATTCCTTAAAAAGTGGATGTATGTCACTTTGCACAGCAGTCAGATTTACATGTGACATTTACACAAAGCCTTACCTCGGACTATTTTTTTATATCAGGTCATTTGCAATTAGAAAAGTTATTTAAAAATCATGGGAGAACTATAAATGCTAACAGTACCACTCTTTAAAAAAGTGTTGGGGGCCTCGCTGGTGGTGCAAAGGGTTAAGCACCACATTATGAAGCAATCCGGAGCCTCTGCAGCACAAGTTCGATCCTGGCCCTGGCCGGCCAGGGAGCAACCCACATGGCATGGCAGACCTCGCCTGTCTCACCTGCTGCTCCCCTCAGCAGTGTATTTCAGTCATTCTGCCTGTTCTATTCCCCACTCAGTCTCTGGTGAATCCTCTCACCCCCACACCTCTGGCCTGTACCCCAGCTGTTGTATGCGTAAATAAATAAACCTTAAAAAAGAAAAAAAATGGGGGGCATCCTTTTTGTAAAAGATTTTTGCAAACCAGATTTTAGTTGAGGCAACTTGATCTGTATTCAATGACCTGGCTACAATATAAAAACTGTTAGAGGAAGGCCAATCTCACCCATCTCATGAGACAGATTTTGAAACTGAAGTATATTAAAACATAGTTTATACAGCCTTTTGGCTGAAGACTCTAACATCAAAAAACCTACAAATACAATGTCATTCCATAGCATGTACTCTTTTTATCAGAATTGGCAACCACTAGAATTCAGTTAAAAGATTTATCCCAAACCATGCAGAACAGCATAGGGTGTATCCCATTAAAAGCCATATGTAAGTAACATTATATTAAATAGTAAACACATTGACCAAAGCCTACTTTGGTGACCTTAAAGTAACTCTCTAACTACATACATTATCACAAAATATAGACTATCGCTCTTTAATAGTATGTTTTAGCACACATTGTATTTTACGAACGTCTACCAATGCTAGACACGAGGAAACACTGGACTGAAATTAAATACCTCGTACACTTGGAATGCATAAACGTGCCTATATCGGAAACTTCAGTTCTCTGATAACACACACCAAACTCCGCCTACTACCATTTCCAGAATCCCAAAAAAAGCTCATGGCAGCACGTTAAAGTACCAGGTAAAAACCAAATTGCCCATTTAAAAAGTTAGCAAAACACCTTGTTATCCCCAACGAAAAGTCTGAAGTAAGAAACAGTGACTAAGCATAAAGAAGAGTGATTCAGCAAAACTTGCACATTGAAAAACCAAACTCGTAGCAAAACCCTAAAGGTATATTCCATGCCCCTCATTTCCTTTTGCCTCGTCCACCCTGGGGCAGCTTTGGGAAAGATTCACAAACATAACCAAATGCAAACTAGATGAATCGAATGCACTAGGTCTCTAAAGGGACACGGCAGCACGGAGACTTAGCAAATCGAAAATGAAATTCAGAAAAGTTTGACTTTTTGCATTCGAACGGTTTTAAGTTAATCTACACTGATATCAGAATGTCTCCAAATAACTTGGTCTTGGATCAGAGTCAACAAAGCAATTATGGAATAAAAGGTCAATTCCTTCCCAAGCATCCTTTATCTGGGACTTAACGACTTGGCTCAGAAAGAAAAACAAGCGAGGGGGAGCGGGGGCTGGAGACGGCACCCTGGTAAACAACCCCGCCGGCCGTGCAGCCCCCCCACAACCAGCACCATACAACACCCTCGGAGGCGGTGGCTCCGCACGCAGGGTGAACACCGTGGCCCCCTTCCAAGGGCTGCACTTCCCGGGACAGGACGCAAATAACCTGGAAGTGGTCCTGCCCCCAGCCCTCCAAAGCCGGGGTTCCCCTTTCTTACAAGGACCCCGGGCGGACCCAGGTCCTTCACTTCCATGAATGGCCAAGTCGCAACTTCGCTCATCCCGCGGAGCCGGCGGAGGATGCCTGCCGGTCCCGCGTCAACCCGCCCGGACCCAAAGAACCCAACTTTCTAAAAAGCGAAAGGGCCCACCCGGCTTCCGGGGCTCCCGGGGTCCCCGAGTCCAACTCCGGCGTCCGCGGCCCCAGACCGGCCCCGCGGGCAGGGGGAGCGGGGTCGGCGCGGGGCGCCATTTGCTGACGCGCGGGGTCGGCGCGGGCGCGCCAGGGTCGCCGCCGGGGCCGCGGGGCCGGGTTCGCCGCGCCCAGCCCGGCCGCGACCCCCGCGCCCCTCCCGGCCCCCGGCCCCGCGCGGCCCCGCGGCAGCCTCCGTGCGGGCGCCGCTCAGGCCTCGCCGGCCTCGGCGCAGCTCCCGACACTCACCCGCGGCGGCGGCCGAAGCGCGGCCGGGACCAGGCTGGCGCGGCCGCTGTGCCCGCGACCCTGGGCCGTCCCGGCGCCGTCCCGCGCCCCCGACCCGCTAGCTGGGCGCCTCCTCCTCGCCGCTGCCCCGCCGGCCGCCGCCTTTTCTTCCCTGCTCCACCTCCTCCCCCTGCCCCCTCCGCCCCTCCTCCGTCTCCTCGCCACCTCCTCCTCAGGCTCCGCGGCCTCCACCCCCGGCGGCCGCCCTCCCGGCGCGCCCCGCCCCGCCCCACCCCGCCGAGCCCCGCCCACCCGGCCCCGCTTCGCCTCGGCGGCGGCCGAGCCCGTCCCGCCGGGGACGCGCACGCCAAGCGGCGCGGGGGCGCGCACGCGGGGACGCGCACGGCGGCGCGCACGGCGGCGCGGGACTCCGCCTCTGGGACCCCCGGGGGAGGCGGGTCCCGAGGTCTGGGCTCTGCGTGGGGCGGCCCCCGCGGCCCCGCTGGGCTCCTCCCCGCGGCGCGACCGAGTCCTGTCGGATTTTAAAGTGTTGTTTTCCTGGAGGAGCCCCTGCGTCTGTAGTTAGAAGCTGAGGAGACAGGCCCTTGCCGAATGGCCAGGTCAGCTCCCAGCTCAGGCCCGGCCAGGGGCGCGCTCCCGCGGGCTGGTTGGCTGGAGCAGCGCCGGCCGCCCCCGCGCGTCCCAGGGCTGAGCTCCCCGGCCAGAGCCCTCCACGGAGCGCCCGGACCTTTGCGGGGTGCTCCCCCCCACCCCCGTGCTGAGCTCCGCCCGGGAGTCTGGGGCCCGGGGGCTGACACCCCAGGCGGCGGGACGGTCTGCAGGGGAACCCCGAGGCAGCCCAGCTGGAGAGGCTGGAGGTCACCTTTGCGGGCTACTTTTTTTTTAATGAATATTTTATTTTATATAATTCTTGCATCATTTTTCATTTTTGCACAATGCATGCATTATCATTGTGGTTATATTCCCCATATAATTGCACCCCCCCCTTATTTTGACCCTAGTCCTTCCTCTCCCCTTCCCTCTCCCCACTCCGTGGTGTGTCTCTGGTTTATAGTTGCTTGTTGATTTTGATTTTTACTTTGTATTAACTTTTTTTTTTCTTTGTATTAACTTTTAACATGACTGAGGGTTGAAGAAATGTCTCAGGACCCTATCAAAGAATGGGCGTCTACGCCCCCAGCCCAAGCTTTCGTTTAAGGCCAGTGGGAGTGATTCAGCGTGCTGGGTGGTCGCTGTCCCTCATCTCCTCGCCCCCATCGCATGGACTCTTGCCCAGGCCTAGCGCAGCGCTGATGAAGTGATGACTGTGCCCTGGCCTGGTGGGTGGGGGCAGAGGCAGGAAAACACTGTTTTGTCATCTTTTCTGTGGCTGCATTCTTGGGAAAGACAGCTCACACATCATTTGCCATCCTTCATAGAAATAACTCTGACTTTTGGATTTTTAAAAGGCAGTAAATATTTTTTTAAGCTGGAGAAGAAACTTAGATTACTAACTTTTTACTGTGCTAAGAAAGAGTAAAAATTGTACCACATGAATCAGCTCCTCCTTTCACAAATCAAAGATTTTCACACCAATTATTGTTAAGGACAACATATCAGAGTAAAGCTGCTTAATTCAATTCTTTAGATGAATAAATGTAGCTTTTTGAAAAAAATAGTTTATATATATATATATATCTAAGATTTATATATTTCTTCTTTTGTTTAATTTGACTGCAGATGGGCCCTGGTCCTCAGCCCAGAATTTGAGGACCCTTGTCCAGAGAGCTAGACAGGGCAGTGAAGCAGGCAGGACCAGCTGACAGGAGAAGATTCTGTGCAGCCAGCCCCTTGCCCTACTCTGCTCAGTGTCCAGGATGGAGTCACATATGTTCCCTTTGCTTCAGTTGCCCACCTGTAAAATGAAGGGGGCATAATGGTCCCTAGCTTTTTTTTTTTTTTTTTTTTTTTTTTTTTTGAAGATTTATTTATTTATTTATGCATACAGGCCAGAGGTGTGGGTAGCGGGGGAGGGAGGTTGTGAGAGGATTCACCAGACAGAGTGGGGAGCAGAACAGGTGGATCGACTAAAATGCACTGCTGCTAAGGGGAGCAGCAGGTGAGACAGGAGAGGCCTGGCCCAGATCGAACTCATGCTGCATTGGCTCCTGATAGCTTCATAGTGCTGTGACTTAACCCCTTGCACCACCAGGGAGGCCCCGATCCCTACCTTTAAAAGCTATGCTCCCATGAATGTACTTACTGATA